CTGCGAAGAGTTTTACGCACAATCGACAGTTAGAGATGTCAATGGGAGATATGTCGTAAAATTACCTTTTCGTTCCGAAGATCCACTTTGTAAATACGGTAATTCTAAAAATATAGCTGTAAAAAGATTGCTAGGTTTAGAAAGGAAGCTGGGTAGGGATGATGATTAAAACAACAGTATGCTGATGTAATAAAAGAATATTTATTGCTAGGTCATATGGAGAAAATCGTTGATAAGGCTGAAATAAATAAAAACGATGCTGTTTATTTGCCTCATCACGCAGTGGTTAGACAGGATAAATTAACCACTAAGGTAAGAGTGGTTTATGACGCGTCATGTAAGGGAACGAACGGGGTTTCCTTAAATGACACCTTAATGGTAGGACCCACTCTTCAGGCAGATTTGCGACATATTGTCATGAGATGGCGTCAACATCCGATCTGTCTGGCTGCCGATATCGTCAAAATGTATCGCCAAATCAAGGTCGCTCGACCTGATACAGATTATCAAAGAATTGTTTGGAGAGAGAATCCAAACAAAGAGATCGAGGATTACCGACTTCTGACTGTCACCTTTGGTACGTCATGCGCTCCTTACTTAGGCTGTAAAGTCGTTGCAGCAAGTTGCGTGCGATGAAGGCGAAGGTATCCAATGGCTGCTGAAAGGGTGAAGTCAGACTTCTATATGGACGATCTGATGACTGGGTGTCAATCTGAAACAGAAGTAAAACTAATTTATGATGAAATGAATTGTCTATTAGAGAAAGCGGGGTTCCAATTGCAAAAGTGGACAAGCAATAGACCATCCATTTTGGAAACGTTGAAGGAAACTTCTGGTAGAGACCTTGAAATAAAAATGGATAGTATAACTAAGATTTTAGGACTTACCTGGAACCGGAACACTGATGAATTTGATTATTCTGTGAAGATGTCACCTCCTGCTGCACCTGAAACAAAAAGGACGGTTATATCAGAGATATCAAAGCTTTATGATCCGTTGGGTTGGATAGCACCGTGCATTATAACCTCGAAGGTTTTCATACAAAAGCTATGGATTAGTGGAATCGGCTGGGATGATGAACTGCCACCAAATCTCTTACAAGAATGGTCATATTATAGAGCAGAGTTAAAGAAACTGGTAAACTTTCACATTCCTAGATGGATACATAAAAGCGAAAAAGATATTACAATGGAGTTACATGGCTTTAGCGATGCGTCAAATATAGCTTATGCGGCTGTGGTGTATTGTCGCATTGTCGATGCTAATGGGCAAATACACTCGCACCTCATAACCGCAAAGACAAAGGTAGCTCCCATCAAGCAAATATCCATTCCACGGCTGGAGTTGTGCGGTTCTGTTTTAGTAGCAAAATTATTGATTGATGTAGCTCAAGTAATGAACATTCCTAAGGCAAATATACATGCTTGGACGGATTCATCAGTTGTTTTGGCCTGGTTAAATGATCATCCAAGTCGATGGAAAACTTACGTGGCTAATCGTACTTCTGAGATTCTTGGTTTGCTAGACAATTCACAGTGGGCTTATGTTAAATCTAAAGAAAATCCAGCAGATATAGCTTCCCGGGGAGTGTCTTCAGCATTTCTCCTTGGTGATGATCTTTGGAAACATGGACCTGGTTGGTTAAGGAATGCTCAGATAGACTTCACCCGGCCTAGTGCCATTCATACTAATGAGGAGTTAAAGCAAGTTAATGTTCACACTGCCAGCGTAGTGCCTGATTTTGAAGTCATTTGGGGATCTAAGTATTCATCACTTTCACGTTTGGTGAGAGTTGTTGCGTATTGTAAAAGATTTTTGCAATCATTAAAACTTCGTAAAGCGAATATTAAGGTTGCAAAATACCTGTCAGCTTCCGAAATTCACAAAGCGTTGAATGTATGTATCAAACAAAGCCAACAGCAATGGTTTCAGGCTGAATTGACAGCCCTGAAAAATAAGAGTCCATTGGAAAGGTCGAGTTCTTTATATAAGTTGAATGTATTTATCGACCAATGTGGGATATTGCGAGTTGGAGGAAGGCTACGGTATTCACCATTACTTGATGATACAAAGCACCCAGTTGTTATTCCTCATGATTCAAGTTTGGCTAAGTTAATTGTAGCCGACGCTCATGAAAGGACCTTTCATGGAGGACAGCAACTGGTACTTAATTTTATACGCATCAAGTACTGGATCAGTCGGGTTAAAAATATTGTACGAGCTTATATACGTCGTTGTGTTCGCTGTATTCGATACTCGGCGACCACGAATCAACAGCTTATGGGAGAACTTCCGGTTTGCAGAGTGACTCCCAGTAAGCCGTTTCTGAACTCCGGTGTCGATTATGCAGGCCCTATTCACATTAGAGTCTCTAAAGGTCGTGGACAGCGGTCGTATAAGGGGTACATCTGTTTGTTCGTATGTATGGTTACGCGCGCAGTACACATAGAGGTTGTTTCAGATTTGACGACTGAGGGTTTCCTGGCAGCGTTCAAACGGTTCATTTCTAGGCGCGGTCACTGTCGTCATATCTGGAGCGACAATGGTACAAATTTTGTGGGTGCTGCTAAAGAGTTGCAGATGCTTTTCAACCAACAGAGTTCGATGTACAAAGACATTGCAGCTGCTCTTGCAAACTCTCAAACAGAATGGCATTTTATCCCTCCTCACGCTCCTAATTTTGGTGGGTTGTGGGAAGCAGGGGTGAAAAGTGTAAAACACCACTTGAAGCGTGATAGGTGACTCCACTTTGACGTTCGAAGAACTGTCCACAGTACTTTCCCAAATCGAGGCATGCCTAAACTCTAGGCCCCTGTCTCAGGGTAGTAGTGATCCAGAGGATCCTGTACCTCTGACTCCGGGTCATTTCTTGGTGGGTCATCCATTGGTAATGGTTCCTGACTACAACTATGAAAGTGTCACAGTTAGCACTTTACGCAGATGGCAATTAGTACAGCGTATGGTGCAGCACTTTTGGCGTAGATGGAAACAGGAGTATTTAACAAACTTTTTTCAAAGGCATAAGTGGAATGTTCGTAAACCTGACTGTAAAATAGGTGATGTAGTTTTAATAAAAGAAGATATCTTACCTCCAGCTAAATGGTTGTATGGCAGAATTGTTGAGCTGCATCCAGGTAGAGATAACTTGACGCGAGTTGTCACTGTTCGTTGTAAGGGCTCTATGATTAAACGTCCAATTTCAAAATTGTGTTTTCTTCCTGTTACTGAATAAGGCACAAAATCTTGTAGATTTAATTGTTTAAGTTGCGTATGTTTTTAGATAAGGTTTTATTATGTTATTTTTTCTTAACTGCACTGTTGAAATAACAATGTCTCTTACTCTTGTGCAATGTCATGTATTGATTACAATGTTTAGATAGTAGTTTAGTTATATTGTTTTTGTCAGAATTTTGTCAACCTGATATTTTGTTGGTATCAAGAATTTCGTCACCCAGATTAATGTTTTTGTACTTATATCTATTCATTTTGATTGAAACCATAACTGTCCGCGCCAATGTCTGCTAAAAGAAGCCGTCCACTAGATCTATCTCGATGTATTATTCGTAATATAGTAATATAATTGTTATACAGTCCACTGTTCTCCTAGTTGTTAAGTTTATGCATGGTGGGCGGTACGAAAAGGAATATATTCCTTTTGGTGGGCGGAATGTTCAGTGTAGAAATAATCTGTTTAAAAGATGCATTCGGCCAACGCCATACTACTATTTATTGTGTTGTCCCATAGCTCGATAGATGGCGTTGGCCGATTTAAATTCAAGCTATGGTTTCGTTACCGGCAAAACATTAGGTTGTCTGCTTTGACATAAATAAATTGTCTTGCTCTGAGGTACTTCGTATTATTTCAAGTAATAGGCTCCAAAGGACTTTCGGCCGATACTGTTCAATTACCATTAATGATTTATTTGAATATTTGCTTTGTATTCTTATGTCGCACTTTCTATGTTGCAATATCATTATATTAATGAACGACATTTTTTTACAATTCTAGTAACTAATTAGAAGTTAGTTTGTGGTAATGAGTTAGCGAATTAGTTGAATATGTATTTAATGGGCGTGTTGTACATTTCGGAAGGAATTAGAGATAGCAAGCAGGAAAGGTATGTTAACAGTGTATTTGCTCTACAATCTACTATTTTTGTTTGTTTATGCCAAAGCGAGGGCACAGCCCTAGCTTTGGCGATTTGAGATTCATCTAACATTAAATCTGTTTTCGACATATTTTTTGTTTAATAATTGTGTTCTTATCTAAAATATTATTCAGATTTCTTCTCTAATCTTAATCCTCAAATATTCGTAAACCAGCTGAGAATCGGTTTTTAAACAAAGTATCAAGCGAATGAAACGACTTTCGTATTATAGCTAGGTGTACAGATCTACCCAGTGCAATCACTTGACATAATTCCTTTGTCAGTTAGTGTGGAGGGTCACGCCAAGTCACGTGTCACACCAATAGAGCTGGTTTACTGGGGTGCGCTCACAAAGGGTCCTCAATGCATGATGTCATCATGATACTTGTACCACTGGAACAGGAAAAAGAAACGAGTTTTAACTAAAGGGCTTTATCCCTGAACTAATTACAATATAGGTCACGAATTACGCAATCAATGTTGTTGGAACTTGGAACCCTTGTTTAGGAGCCGGGATTGTTTGTAAACATTGGTGACCGACTCACGACTTACAATTTTATAGTATTTGATAACATGGCTTACCATGTTCTTAGGAACAAGTTTTTAGTTATTTTGAAAGTCAAACAAAATTATGTATAGCCGTAACCAACGTTTATTTTGATTCAATCGTTGCGATATTGTCATGTTTAGAAATAAGTAGTTTTGCAGACTGATTGAAAAAGCTAGTAATTTTGTAGATGTAAAAAGTATACAAAAATACAAATACAAAAATATTTTATTTCTGAACCAAATATGTTTTAACAATAGATTGTGATTATGATATATCTACTTATAACAAAATGATTTCTGTAGACGTGATGAATCCTGGAGGTGGAGGAGTCGGAGGTAATGGCTACCCGGTGGCAGGCGTGGGCGCCATGCCGGGCGCGGGCGGGGCGTGCGCGCCGTACGTGTGCGGCGTGAAGAGCGTGGTGTGGTGCGGGGGCGCGGGCGGGGGCGCGGCGCTGGGCGCGGGGCTGCCGCACGCGCCGCCGCACGTGCCGCCGCCGCCGCCGCCCGGCGTCAACGCGCACGTGTTCAAGAGCATGCAGCCCAACGGCTCCGACCTGCCCATGAACGACATCCCCACGCTGCGCTTCTACTTCAACCTGGGCGTGGAGTGCGTGTGGGCCACGTACGGGCCGCCGCGCCACTACAGCCCGCGCGAGCTGGCGCACGACCTGGCGCACGTGTCGCTGGCCGAGCGCCCGCCGCACGCGCCCGACCACGCGCACAAGCACAAGCCCGCGCCCGCCAACGACAAGCCGCCGCTCAACAACCAGCCCAAGGGCAACGGCCAGCGACCTCTGCTCGGGCCCAGGTCGGTGTCTCGGTAAAACAATCATCTTCATCCCTACGTTTCTTATTCTTATCAAGTTGACAGTGAATAATAACTGCCATTTACGTTTTATAACAGATTCAAGCGCGGAGGCGGTAACCAGGACGGCAATCAAAATTCCAACCACAACCAGAATAAGCACAACAATAATATGGGCAATAAGGGCCCTAACAACCGGTACGTTGAAAATAATTTAACTAACATTTTCACATTGTACACAAAGTCTTTTATAGTTAGAAACAAAAAACTAATTAAGTGTTGTATTACTTTCCAGTCGTAACTCTCACAGCGAGCAGCGTGGTCCTCATGTCGGCTACAGCGGCGCTGGCGAGGGAGAGTGCGTGATGGAACAGCCCATGATCACTCTGCCTTACATCCCATACCCACCGCCCATGTACCCCATACAATACTACCCTGTCGAGACTGATCCCGGTAACTCATGTAACATTTTTACTGATTCTAATAATTTATGTTTAGATTTGAAGTCTTCTGAACATGAATTGAACGAAAATGACTTATGAGAAAAGTCCTTTCTGTGACACAAATGTCAGCAGCGGTAATTTGTTTATTTTAGAGAATGAACCAGCATTTTTAAAGTGTTGACTTTATTTTCTTATATCTTAACTTATGATTAAAATGGACTATTAGATTGTCCTTATTGATTAGAACTTTCTTGATTGACTCTGTAACATTTCTGATGATGAACTAATCTTCTATTACAGCTATGATGGGCATGATGGGCGGTATGGGGTACGTGGGCTACGAGGAAGGAGTGTACGAGGGAGGGATGCAGGCCTACTACCCCCCCGCGCCGCACTACCCGCCCCCGCACCCACACCCACACCCACACCACGTAGAGCACAAGTAAACCTACTACACGTACCGATCAACACACACACGCACACATTTAAAAGCTTGAGTACATAAATCCCTCAATACAAAAGTACATAGATGTTATGACGAAAACAATATAATGCTTGCAAAATGTAATACGTGAAACTATACAAATGAATATCATATATTCATCATCATCATCATCATCAACTGCTGAACAAAGGACTGCCCATTGCAGTCTTAGTACTGTCCAACTCTCGGAGGTTGGTCACAATTTCGTAATGTACTTGGAGTAGCTGCATATTTTATATTAATCTACATAACACATTTTGCACTTTACAAAATGTCCAAATCTACATAACATGTTGTTTGATTTACCACAGGCCGTCCCAGCGTCTACATGCTCCATAATTCATCGTCATTCAACAATCACCACACACATTAGGTAATTGCATCCCCGTTTTCTAGCGTACTTCTTGGTTCCGAGCACAGCTACCCATTTTGTGTACTCAAGCTCTAATAAATGAATAATTTGGACAATCAAAAGTAACACTTTGACCAGAGTTCTTTTATTTCCTTGTCATTTTGCACATACTAAAATTATTCAAAGAAAAGTACTTTTAGTAACAATAAAATAATCTATCAAAATTTCATTCATATACTCGAATAATCAACAAGTATCAATATAAACGGTTTACCGAATTGTGTGTCTTCATTGCTAAAAATATTATGTCAAACTCAGTCGATTATGCGACTAATTTGAGTTGAATCGGTACATACATCAACATAAATAAACTAACAAGGCTATTAATAACAAAACAATGGACGTGGTTGAGATATGTGTTGTCTGTCAACGCCGGCGTTCAGGAAGTAATTCAGTCTACCACATTCCAAGTAATTAATTAACCAAGTAATCATTCACGTAACAAGATCATTAGATATCTCCATCGCACTAGATTGTGGCAAAACTAATTACATAATTTAAATACTACTCAAGTTGTATTCTAAAATAGGATTCAATTCCATTTTACTTTAAAATTTGAGTATCTATTTATAATAACCGATATTATCACTGAATATAATATATGTTAACATACACATATTACATTTGTGAAGCTAATTTTTTATGTGTAATTGTAATATACACAATAACAAACTGGATATGCACTGAATTGATTATTAACTCAGACTTATGAACAAATACGTAGTTCCTAGTACCCATGTATTTACTGTTGATGTATCAGTGTGTGTTCAGATAAACATGTAAACTATCGGCTGACGTGAATAAATGATGTAATACAAAGTTGCCAAATGTTTACCATCGATTTATATAAGTTCATTACACTCAGCCGATTACAACTTGTTCACTAGTGGCTTGATAGCAACATGAGCTACTAATTAGTGCCTGAATTCAGTATACGAATTTTTATCGTGAAAAATATTCAGTAAAACGTGTCAATGTTGCATTATTACATTGTGCCACGCTGTGTGTGGGATACATTTGCAACTCGCGTTAATTATATAGACGAATATTTGGAAAAAGTCAATTAAACATGTTATACATCAAAGACCCGTTCGAAGTAACAGCCTAACATTATGTTTCATACTACTAACATTAGTTGCAGATACCTGGCACAGATTGGCACGATCATTTGTTATTTATTACGATGTGGGAATAAACATTCGATAACTGTTTTTGAAAAGTAGTAAAATTGTATTATGTACTTAACATAAGGAGGGAAGGTCGCACAGCCTTTGTTTCTGTACCGTTTCAAATTCCCGATTGTGAACTTCCATTACTGTGATCTATTTGACTGAAACCTTCTCCATTTGTATATGGCAATTAAATTAGTTTACTATATAATTACTATATAGGAACCGTTTTTGAAATTGTTAATCCACAAGTGTTCATTGGTGCTGCAAAATTGATTAGAACAGGGTAAGCGTGATATTTTTGTATGTTACAGCATTATACATACATACAAATGTTACGTAGTTGTTAGGCGCTGTATATCATTCCTTGTAATGTAAGGTGAAACTGTACATTTTAAGACAATTTATTGTAGTTTTTATGTCGCAAATTTAAGTTTCCTGTTTCTTAAGTATTTTTTTTATCGCTTATCACACACTTGTACTCCAAGTTACACCTTAGCCGCAGGTTCGACTATACAGCCTGGGCTAGTTTCCATGGGCCCTGTACCCAAGACGCAATATTAGTCGAGTCTTGTGTAGTGATAAGTTTATTTTTGGCTTAATTTTAGTTTAGTTAGAATAAGTCAAGACGGTTTCACACGCCTCTGTTTAGGTTCGCACTAAGAGTAGATTTACTTTTAAATATTCTCAGATCTCAAGCTCAATATAAACGCAGACCTTTTGAATCTCCAATTTAACATTCAGCACTTTAAAATAAATGTGAATTCAATAACGTGAACACATCAAGTATCCTACTTTGATCTCATTTAAAAATAACATTCGTAAGAAAACTGGTGCTTGGGTTTGTTAGTTGTTTACTTGTATTTAAGTAACTTGTTCAAATTTATTAACATTTAATGTAAGCGGGACCATTAGTAACCTTGTGAATAAGAAAAGTATATTAGTATTATTATAGATATTTTCGCTACATCGCCTAGTCTCTGCATTTACTACGTTAGTCGGTGCACGCTGCATTTGTGTCCAGAGGCTGGAGAGATAGAGCCGAGGGAAATTGTGATCTCCTTTTTGGGAGATCAACGTTCAGTAACATATATGCGCGCCATATTTAATTTAACAGTTCCTTTTATTGCTATTATCTTGTTTACGCGTGGCGGTTTGAAACCGCCTGTAAATGTCTGCAGACAATGACAAAATTGACTCGTGTTTTGGATTGTTTATATAAGTATTTGGCTGTGATTCTCAAGTAATCTCAGTAACGATTGGTATTATGTTGTTGGCTGACATTTGTTATACGAAAAACAGATCGCTTTATATCTATTACTAATTACATACCAGACAGTCGAGTTTGTCTGTATGTACAAATATTATTCCTTATAATATTTGATTGTCTATTTATTGATCACTAAGGATGTACCTTAATTCCGCCCATGATTATTATACTTCACATTTACACTCCAAACATAATTATATATGATTATTTACTATATATTACGCATAGATTTATATATTTGCGTATGGTAGCGAAATCTTGAATGTTTTACAGAGTTGTTAAAGAAAATATTAAAAACAAAAAACAAGTGTTCTTACGACAGGTTACGTGTCATGTTCATGTTAATTATAATTTTCGGTTTTCAGTATTAGTTTAAATCACTAGGGGTTAGAATTTTATGTTAGTCGTTAATTAATGTTTACGTAACTATAGTCTAGTGTTACTTTATTTAACCCTTGGGGAGCCTGGTAGGTAAAAATCACATGGCATGCCTGGTGGGTCTCACAGACCCGTAAATATAAATGGTTATTTTTATTTATTTTGATGTTATAAACTATAATAAACAGTTTGTAATTTATATTAAATATTATATATTAATGAAAAAAGAGAAAAAAAGACGACAATATATTATAATAAAGTTTTATTACTTAAGCAAATAAAAAATGTCTGATTTTTGGGTAACAATAACATATTTTTAAATTAACAATATTAAACTCTTTTTAATTGAGATCAAAATCAGTCTTCACATTAATATAAGGCACAGATGAATAAACTTTGGTTACTAAAGTAAGATTAACTCAGTATTTGTGCGTCAATTTTCGCATATAAATTTGCGTGCTCCAATCAAATATGACCTGTGCAAGAAATACAAATGTACTTAGATTTACGGCCCTTTTTAGCAAGGCATATGTAACAACGTCTTTTTAGAGCAGCATCTTGTCTTTTAGCTGGTGGCTCTGAGAGTTTTCCTCTATGAGAGCTAATTCTCTTCCTTAGATTAATCGGAAACCACGTCATCCTCAATTTCATGGATCTTGATCTAAAATTTGGCTTATTTCGGTATTGGTTAATCGCCTGGCCATATTTAACTGCGAAAGTATTATACAGATAAATAATTTACCACACAATGCAAAATAAATAATGAAAACAAAAATAATAACTTACCAGTTAAAAGTTACGCCGCGTGCCTGGTCGGGTTTCTCAGACCCGAGCGCACATAAAACACGTGTTACTAGAACGCGTGTGCGTTGTGGATTGCTGGAGGGGTTGGAATCTAGCCGCCAGTCTATATCACGAAGCTACTTAGGCATACAGCGGCGGTAATTACGAAATTTCTAAAATATTGTCGATTCTTTAAGGTGATGGGTCTGTCAGACCCACCAGGCACCCCAAGGGTTAAGTATACCGTCAGTTACTTTGTAATCTCGTCAGTTAGGGCGTAAAATATATATTTTTTGTTCTCAATGTAGTTGTATAAGTTTGTGTGCCAAGTTTAAACTTTGATGTATGATATAAACGAGCAGTGTCACCCATGAGTAGCATCTTGACGATCAACATCACTGCCGTAGAACAAAATTCTCGTTGTCATATCAGTGTTAAAGATACATTAGTAAATACAATAATTGTGTTGTGAATAGTACTATTATAGGTACATGTATGTCTTACTATATGGTTGTACAGTGCTCAAAGTTAGGGTAATGTCCGCCTTTGAGATGTTATTTGTAATTCTTTTTCAAAATTCCATCAATAAATGTAAACTGATTTTTCATATGTGTTTTTATTTCTTAACTTGATACCTTACTTAGGTGAATGATTATTAAAGCCGTGAATTATTATTAAAAAAATGTAAACTAAATTAACATTTTTATTTGTACTCTTGGTCAAAAATTTCATGGTAAGTGACTTTCTCGTTTTGGCAGAAAAGTGTAGGATGACTGGCTGCCCACTGTACCACGTGTTACTTGAGATAATAGGCGAGTTTCTGGGACAGCAATCGACTAGCTTAAAAATTAGTTATTCTCTCCTCTCTATCAGTTAAAACATAACATTTTGTGAATGCCGGTGGCTGTACAACTTGGTTTGACAGGTGAGTAACCTAAAACTTTTAAAGTAGATAACTTTAATATTTATGAAAGAATATAAGTACTAAATATTGCTTATCTGAATATCTTGTTTGTAATTTCATTCATAGATTCCTTAATCTATCTACTTAATTTACCAACTTATACTTATTGCAAATTTAAATGAGTTGTTTTCGAGGACACAAAAACAAATGCATAATATAGTCTCATAGTTCAAAATTCTTATCGTGGCACGAGGAAAACAGCATAGATGTTTTATTGTGACCTAGTACGCAGTCTATGACGGATAGAAGAGTTCTTTCATAGGGGGCAGATCTCTAAATGAGTGCATCTTAACAGACGTTGTACTAAGGGGGACAATCGGTTGACCTTGTAGTAACAAGTGCTTGTTATCGTGTGTAGTATCAATAAGCCAGTTGTTTGAGTTGGTAGCGAGCCTACTGCGACGGAAACGCACAGTTAGTAATCATAACGTTCACGTTTGTGAAGATTTAGATATAATTGTTTGTCAATTGCAACCGGCGTTATTTGCCGAGAGACTCCCGCGGTGCAAGGTACGTAGATATTGCTAGTTGTGTATCTATTATAAATATTGTGCATGGTTCGTTGATAGTACTGTAGTTAGATATCCAATGAAATAAAGAGGTCGTGGCTTGTGGTTTGAAAGAAAGTTTAAAGTTTTTGTTTTTAAATAAATGTTTGCTACTACGTTACGTATTATTTAAGCGCGATAAATTATTTTCAAAGCTAATTAATTGTGTATCTCAAGTACCTCCTTAACTATTTTCTCACTAAAAATTGTATTTTTATGAAATCCAATATCTATGTAAGAAAAACTTTCCCGAGTGTCAGTAAGTAATCTAATGTTTGAATAATCGTCGCGGAGAACCTAACGGGTTACCGGGGCTCCGTCCGGCTCAAAGCGCAGCAGGAACGGAGTGGTTTTTAGTCAGTCTGACACTCTCTCCCGCCTAATCCAGGCGGGAGCAGTCATTTGATGATTTTGTCCCCTTAAAAAATGTTTGAATAAATATTTAGTAGGTAGGTACCTAAGTAACACATTGACGAAACAAAATAAGTAGATGTGTAGACTACTTAGACATGTAGGTATTAATTATTTAAAAGTACTTTCCTTTCCTAACGAGTTTCATAAGATAATTTAAGTAAGTAGCTCTTTACATGAACATAATAGACACTTAACTATTGATAAATCAAAGCTTAATAGGTCCTACCTAAGTAGGTATTACTTTATCTCCTCTTTAAAATTAATGTTATTCAAGTATGTTATCAGTGCTTTAACTATTTTGTTATGTAATAACAAAAATATTTTGATTACAGATAAGTTATATCTACCTATAATTCGAAACAAAGTTCAGAAATATATTAATGATATTGACTTTTTTAAAGCCCTCCCCTCACTAGTCAGTCACTAGTTGAGTTTTAAACAATATGTAGATACCGGTGCACATCACACCCAAATCGGAACACCATTTAGCAGCGTAAAAATCCTTTTTGTGTAGGCATCGAACCCCGACTCGTTGCGCGACAGTCTTCTCAATCATAAATTGCGTCAAAAATGTGCAGCATATTTGACATACTTAACTATACCTTTCGAGTAGGTATAGGTAGTTACTTTTTATAATAACTATCGTGACACATACTAAATTAATCTGTCAAACACCAAGCGGTCACCGGTGACCGCGACCTATTGTTCTTTAATTGTGTCTATAAAACCGGTACTCGACGAGTTAACTAAAAATCGGGGTTACTCACGTGGAATATACTGAGAAAAGCTCTACTAGTTTCGAACCACAGAGGGGTTCTTCCTCATGAGCAGCGTGCGCGGTCGCGGCGATGTCGCGTAGCCTACTGCTTTTCTCAGTATATTCACGTGAGTAACCAGCGATTTTTAGTTAATTTAGGTATAGGTGATGTTTTACAAACAACTGGAAAATCCGATCTCATCTAGGTAGGTACTTTAGATTTAATTGACAAATCTCTAATCATAATCTGAAAATGACTTTTTACTTTTTTAAGTGTGAAATGAAATATCGTTTGTCATGCAATTCATTATTTACGTATATTTATCTCATACCAATGAAGTAGGTAATTACTCTTGTTTTAATAATATTAGTGTTTATCATAATAAATGCAGTGTAACCGAGATATCGTATCTGAGGGAACAATCTTGATTGAGTAGGTAATGTTTGTTTTTCTCATACGTTAGGTACATTCAGGCTATAATCTTAAGAGAGTTAATAAACTTAATCGTACCTAGGCACTTGAAGCTAGCTGAAGACTGAACCTTGTATCTGTGGATACACTTGCGGCTTATGACGGCCTAGCGACGTCATCATCGAGACAATAAGGAATGCTTATATAAAATTATAAATACATAAGTACTGGATAATGGTGTTTGAACAAACATTTTCTACTATATTTATATCGTTTTAATTTCAACAATCTTCCGTGATTACGTGATACACAGCTAGCGAATACCTACCTACCTCAGCAGAATTAATTTCACACGTAATGAAATCCTAATTGAAAGGCTCTGTAAACTAATATTTTACCAAAAACGAATTAACAAAACGTTTAACACAGCGCTGAATATTCCGCTGTGAATGTGTGTTGTGACGTCTTTAACGGTTCTATTCAAACTAGCGATATATTTTTACAATGCAAAGAAAAATAAGGTCTGTAAGTACCTAGATAAAAAAAATTAAATACCAGCTTAATGAATCTACCGCATGACTGTCTATAAAAGGGTCTCGAGTTCCTTCTGCAGGCGTATAGGTATTACCTATTGAAATTTATTTTTCTACAACGCGCAAAAATCAGCTTATGTAAGTAGGTACCTAGGCAGGTAGGTACGTTCCTACACGATGGAAAAAAATTCAGTTAGTTCAGTAAATATGATGGTACGATAAAGAAAGAAGAGTTAAATAAATTTCTTCGCCTATAACTCCTAGATGTCGATAAAAGTGCAGAAGATCACGGAGCCCCTGCTGCTGGGCGAGGGTCCGCACTGGGACGAGGAGCACCAGGCGCTGTTCTTCGTCAGTATACAGGAGCACACCATACACAAGTACGTACCCGCCACTGGAGTACACACCAAGACCAAACTTGGTAAGTTGGCTATATATTTTGGTTTGTTTAGAATACTTACTAAGTGTAGTAGAGACATTTTTTTGCATGAATGTGTCGCTCGACTAAAATGATACCACGGCCGAGCAGAAAACCGACGTGAAACAACATTTAGGTACGATGAGTTTCGCCGTAAGAGTGACGTTACTGGACGCTCAAGTCCTCCCCTCCCCAATCACCTATCCTCAAACGCCCAACACCCAAAACTCCGGCAACGCATTTTGGGGGGAGTTACCTTTGGTGTTCCGGGTGTCCATGGACCGCGCCGATTCCTCAACATCAGGGAGCCCGTCTGCTAGTTTGCCGTTATATCCATAAAAATGCGCATAATATCCTTTCGGTATATGGCTGATCGCGCATCGATTCTTCTGAACTGTTGCAGGCGGTCGTGTCGGCTTCATAGTGCCGGTAGAAGGCACCAGTGACCAGTTCCTAGTGGGTGTGGAGCGCAAGTTCCTGGTGATCAGGTGGGATGGAGCTGATGGAAGCCCAGCCACCGTGGTCAAGGAGCTCGAAGAGGTGGACCGTGATATACCCACCAATAGGATCAACGATGGCAAGGCTGATCCCAGGGGCCGAGTGTTTGCAGGTCAGATATTGAAAACTTTCTGTAAAATGTTCAAAAATTTATGAGTGTCTCCTTATATTTAGTATTTTCAATAAGATTACGCTATAAACGTAGATCTCCTTACACATTCTTGGCCAAGCGTGGCTAGCAATAAGGACACGAGATTACCTAAGTGCCTATTAAATAATTTTACGGTTTAGGTTAATTGTTCAAGGATGGTCAAACAGAGTACGTGATTAAACCAACAATATTATGGATGATTAGTTTGTCACCTGAGAGTTATTATAATGTGATAAATTGGTGGAAGGCTATTTAATAATTAGGTCAAAATAAATATTCGTCCATTTCTGTTCACAGGAACAATGGGTCATGAAAATCCCCTTGGCAACGTCGCTCTGAACAAAGGCAACCTGTTCCGGCTGGATGGAGGGAAGGTGACGAAGGTGGTCAACCAGGTCAGCATCTCCAACGGCCTGGCCTGGGACGTCCGGGAGAAGGCCATGTACTACACGGACTCACTCGAGAAGAATATCAGGAGATACGATTATAATGTGGACACTGGAGAAATTTGTAAGTTGATATTTAATTGCGACTTTATGGTGACTTCCAAGAGTTCCATGTCGTATACAGGTTTTAATTTAGAACACATCGTTTCAGCCAACGTCAAGTACATCTTCGACTTCGAAAAGAACAAGATAGAAGGGGTTCCAGATGGTACCACCATCGACACTGACGGTAACCTCTGGGTTGCTGTGTTTGAAGGCTCCTGCATCCTCAAAATTAATCCCAAAACTGGAGAACTGCTGCAGAAGGTCCCCATACCAGCGTCACAAGTGACCTCGGCCACTTTTGGAGGTCCGAACTACGACATTATGTTTGTAACGACCGCAAGTCTGAACATTCGTGAAGCCCAGGATCCTCCTTGTGGATCCACGTTCATGGTCACCGGCCTGGGGGTCAAGGGATACCCCAATGTTAACTTTAAGCTTTAACTATTCATATAATCATTTATAATTTAGTTAAATATTTAATTATATAAACCTATTTACAATTTTACAAGCTTATCTAAAAGTTAATAACGTATTGTTTAAATTGAAATAAAATTATGATAAAACAAAATGACAAGGAGACCACTATTAGACTGATATGTTTATTACTAATACGTAATCTAAAGATATTATAAATGTTTTAATGAATTTATTGTTTATATGCAGTGTTTACTATAAATATTAAATAAATATATTATTATTCGGATCAAATTGTTTCTCTTGTAATTAACCTTAATTTAATAAATTTCTAGTTTACTGATAAGGCCATAAGGGACAAAAAATCGGACGTAAGTTTGTAAAAGATTGGTTAAGAAGTTAAGTTAAGAATTTGGTCAAGGAATATGATACCTTGATCCAATCAAGCTACTTCAAAGATAAACAATCTTTGAATTAATCAATTTTAAATAATCTATACTTATAATAAATCTGTAGAGAGATTAATTCTGTACATAAAATATATTTAAAAAATAACTATCAAGGGGTGGTTAGGGATCGCCACTGATGCCAAAAATGCAATCAGTAAAATTTTTGTCTGTCTGTCTGTCTGTATGTTCATTATGGAAACAAAAACTACTCGACGGATTTTAACGAAATTTAGCACAATTATTCTTCATACTCTTGGGCAGGTTATAGTATACTTTTCATTACGCTACGATCAATAGGAGCAGAGCAGTGAAGGGAAATATTGGGAAAACGGGAGAAGTTACTCCATTTTTTAAGCTTCCGTCGCGTGTGCAGGCTTATAGGATAGAAATCATGTTTGACGGAAATATTCTCCTTAAAATTATATAAAAAATATTCCTCGACAGCATATATCTATCTTTTATGGTGGACTCACAATAACACGTGAAACTCCCGATAGCTTAGCAATTCGGTGATTTCTGCTTGTATTTGTCTACTCTAACGTTTACAATACTCATTCATAGACTTTACGCTGTAACCGAAACGCCAATGGTTGAAATTCGCTTGACTCGATATTATAAATGAAAATATGTGAGTTTATGTGTATGTTTGTTACTCAGTCATATTAAAACGACTGAAGGGACCGGAATGAAATTCGGAACAGAGGTAGATTATGGTCTGAAGTGATACATATGCATTTTACCCCTGGGATCGCGGGCGAAGCCGCTGGCAGAAGCTAGTCTTTTAATAAAGACGGGATTCGTCTTTTATTAAAACCGCATAAAATGGGTTGAAAGAAACAGCAAGTCATAATAAAAATGTTTTGTTTTATGGCACATAAATACTACGAAGTACTAGGACCTCATTATATAACGTGTAATTTATAACTGAACTGGAGTGGTTGTAGATCCTGTCAGATTAAAATGAGTGACTGAAATGAGCTAGAGACAAGATAAGAAATGGTTGTACCCACCCTACTTCTATCTACATACTTATTTATCATTTTTGTAGGACTCAGTGGAAAAGTGAAAACATACTATTTTCAAATGAATGAATGAAAATATGAATGCAATTTTGGAATTGCATACTACGTGTAGTTACTATACGGACAAAACAATATCTGCAGACTCATTATCTACCACGGATACGCCGATACGGAGTCGCGGAGAACCTAACGGGTTACCGGGGCTCCGGCTCGAAGTACAGGAGTTGGAACGGAGTGGTTTTTAGTCCGTTAGAGTCTGACACTCCCTCCCGCCTCACCCAGCGGGAGAAGTCATTCGATAATTTTGCCCCCTTAAAAAAGGGCCCGTTATCTATCTATATGTAAATGAAAATGAATTTCCGTTCTTTAGTCTTGCTAAAACTCGAGAACGGCTGAAGCGATTTGGCTGATTTTAGTCTTGATATGTTCATGGAAGTCCTGGGAAGGTTTAAAAGGCGAAAAAAATGTTTTTAGGCGGTACGAAGTTTGTCGGGTCAGCTAGTCGTTTTATACTTTTGTAGTTATTGGTAAAAAAAAAACAAAAATATAAAATATAATAATTTAATCGAATCTGACGTAGTTATTGGGGAGTCCTTTAGCGTTGAGTCCGGTGAGTTTGAAGGTAGACCCTGCAGGTGGCAACTGTTCCTGTCCTCGGTTCATGCAGGCGGAAGTGACGTACAGGACGTCTAGCGCTGGACCTCCAAACGTTGCTGATGTTACCTGCAGCGCTGGGATCGGGATCTTTTCAAGTAGTTCGCCCTTTTTGGGGTCTATTTTCAGCACCTGAAATTAAAACATTTATTGGGAAAACGAACAGATAGGTCAACGTAGCTAATAGACAGCTACAGCGAGCGTCAGAGTAGTCACCATACAAGTGTGTTGACCTTTTGAAACAAGTACAATCTTGGAAAGTAATTGCCGCAGCTTAATGACATCTGATATACCAGCAGCGGTGTAGCTTGCATTGTCTACCGCACTTGCATAATCAATTATTCACGTAAAGACAGAATTGATAAAACTAACTGTAATGATCGATATTTGGTTCTTAAGTGCATTAATAGATGGCGTTACTAGGCTAGCCACATTAATATAAATCATATATTTATTATGGTCAAGTGAGGGTGGCAGTAAAAGAAAATGAAAAAAAAATAAATCTGACAGATGACGATTATATAAAGAAAGGAGACAGCTTACGGGTCCTCATTTAATTTGCATAATTGCTGTAACTCAAAGCCATAATTGATCAGAAATCTGTAATGAATAATAAATATATAAGTATTATTGCCAGTGACAAGTGAGTGTGGTTGCAGTAACGGGGTAAGTGTTTGCGTTTACTTTACGGAAGTGTACACTGGATCATCGGCAATATTTTGCAAGGCTGATTGTTTTTACATTGTCCTCAGCTTGCGGATACGCCCTTAATTATTCGGGAGAAACTTTAGGACTGTGATTCAGCCTCCGTTACGCCAGTTGATCCTGACGCATAGAGATTAAGATTTTCACCATTGTTCTCAAGTAACCAATTGGTCTCGGGGTGTAGCATCGTATACGTCGACACGGTTGAACTCGGGTTCGAACCCAAGTCTCACAAAACTTTTGTTATAATTCATTTTTTCCTGTATTCTGATTTTACTGTTTTATTTAGGTTTTATGCCTTTTCTATGTTTTTTTAAGTGATTTACAGTTATTTAGTTTAGTTTAATATTATTGTCAATGTTGAATGAATTTTATGTGCCTATTGCCGCGGTTTAATCTTTCATCACCCAGTTACCTGAACCCAGGTCATTACATAACCCTTATTAATGTATTATAGGAAAATATGTTAAAAATATTCTGTACTATTTATTTTTCAACTTCAAAAAAAGGAGGAGGTTCTAAATTCGACCGTATATATGCTTTTAATACAGTTTACCAAATTACACACAACATCATGCCTTTTATCCCCGAAGGGGTATGCAGAGGTGCACATTAAGGCTTAATAGTAAGTATAGATATTTACCCGATTGCCATCAAAGTTGGCGACCCAGAGGTTGCCGTCAGTATCGATGGTCATGCCGTCGACGATGCCCTCCAGCTGGTGGTCCTTGTACGCAAACACGTTCCGAGGGTTCGCTGGAAATATTGACACAACACACTTTACTATAATTATCTATTAATTACAGTATAATGTTATAACAATTCTCCGTTAAATATTAATTGTATCCACATACTAATCTGATTATAAGCATTCGGCGCCACTCATAGACATTCAAACCACGACACTAGAAGTTACAAGTACGTTGCCGGCCTGTTGATATTTAGGGAGCTCATACAAATGGCGAAACACAACGCAAACGTTGTTTCACGTCGGTTTACTGTGTGGCCGTGGTATCAAAAGGCGTGGCGTTCAAAAGTGCCTTCCTGGTGCAATTAAAACAATTGACTTTGACCTTGTTCAATCATCACTACGGTCAAGCCGGCCTATTGGCCGTACCGAAGCATGGGTCTGTTCTTCTATATAAATAAAATACTTACAAATATTGCCAGTGTTCACATCATAATCGTATCTTCTGATGGTGTATTCAAACGAGTCAGCGAAGTAGAACGCCTTCTCTTCCAGGTCCCAGCACAAACCGTTGGAGATGTCGATGTTAGAGGCCAGCTTGTGGGTGCTACCGTCAGGGTCGATGCGGTAGAGGGAACCCTTCTTCAGGTCGAACTTGCCTGGCGCGTATTCATGGCCCATTGTACCTGAGGGATACGTTTAAAATAGTCGTTGTGAAAGTGCAGTGGATTGTGATGATAGCGTATGTACAATCAAGTCTTTTTGATTTCTATAATTAATGTTTATCGAGAACAACCACAAACAGTTATTTATTTATAAACTATGTATATACCTACTACTATCATAACAGGAACTAATAGGTACCTAATGCAATAGTGTATGCCAATATTTATAGAGTTAAACAGACAAATTGTAAAAAGGTATTTTTCGTAAAAAATCTGTCTTTTTAGACAGTGAAAAATTAAGGATCGCAGTGGTATAAAAACAGATCAATAAAGAACGCCGACAACCAAGAATTAAAGCAAAAACGGAGGTCCCCATGACCGGAGCAGTGGGTTACCCTGGTCTTTTATGAAAGTACTAACTTTTACCCGCGGCTTCGCTCGCATCACAAAAGGATAAAAAGTAGCCTATGTGACATATACCAATACACACAGCCATCTATACCAATATTTTTGTTTCCCTCGGGAATATGAAATTTTTCCGGGATAAAAAGTACCCTATTATTTAATCCAGACTTCTAACTTTACCTCTGCAAAATTTCAAAGCAATCGGTTCAGTAGTTACGTCGTGAAGGCGGAACAAACAAACAAACTAACTAACTTTCCGATTTATAATATAAGTAAGGATTAAATGTTGAATGATGATGGTCATAAACTCACCAGCAAAGAGTCTCCCCTTAGGATCAGCCTTGGCATCATTGAACCTGTTCTTAGGTACGTCCTGGTCTACTTCAGCGATGGTCCTGATGATCTTGGCATTGTTCTCCTGACCGTCCCACTCGATCTCCACCACCTTGCGGTTGAGGCTGATGGCGAAGTGGTGCTTCTTGCCTTCTATCGGGATTATGAAGGTCGGTTGGCCCTCTGGAATGATAGGTTCAGGATGAGTTACAGTATGAATTTCTTAATCTAAGAAATATGTGCATAATAAATGTATTTTCGATACGCTTGTCGTCGATAATTCAAAATAGGGAGCTATTCCTGTGCAACAGGCCCTATTACTGCCCAGATGTTGCATTGAGAACCGAAAGTTTCATAAAAAAAATCCTTGTCCAAACTGGAGGGAATTGAACCCGCGTCATTTTGCACAGTAATTAGATGCTCAGCTATTAGGTATGCAGTATGCACATGGCGCTGTGCTCTAAAAACGCAGTACAAACGATCTTACCTAGTTTAGCCTTGGTATGTTTGCCAGTCTCAGGCACGTATTTGTTCACGGTGAAGTCGAAGATGCTGACGAAGTAGAGGGCTTGCTCCTCATGGTCCCAGTGTGGACCCTCACCCAGCGTCACTGGATCTGTCACTGCTTTCAACTCGGGCGCCATCTGGAATTAAAGGCAAGGTGTTATTGTCACATTAGGCGGGTGATATTTGAAAACTGTTTATTACAAGGAATTATGGAGCTATTCCCCATGACAGATGCCTAAGAAGATATCAATTATCTTATGGTATTTTCAGAAAATGTTTTCTTAGTAGTCCTAGATGACGTCATTAGGTAGATGGTAACAAGAAAAGCTTTTGAGATTAAAATACCGAATAAAAAAATACAAAATAAACAAAAATAATTCACCAGCGGTTTATACAAAGACAGTCCTAAAACGAGGAAGTTGGTTAAAAATGGTAATGTATAATTGAGTAAAAACATTTTTGAACTCTTGCAGTCTACAGGTAGAATCAGGATATGCAGTGTCCACTACCAAACTTTATTATGACTGTTATACGCACAGAACATATAAAGAAGGCTAGAAAGGAAATAGTTCCTAATTTGTATTAGAACACGCGTCGCCGTTTGTCCCCCACTCTTTAACTTTACTACAAGCAAGAGACCAATACCTACGCGGAAAATGCACACAAATAAACAACACGCACTAGGTTAAAAGATTTGTTATTGGTCGTCACACTGACGCATTCACTTCGTTTGACATACACTAATACAGGCGTAAAAAACTCATATATGGTAGGGGGAGCGAAAGGTCGATTATTGATATCGATAAAATTAATGGCATCTAGCTTCTTAATTTACATATATTGCGGACTATGCGGATTTGTATAAGGCATATTGTATACATGTATTTACGTTAATGTAAATAACTATACATAGAAAAATACATAACTGATTTTTAAAATCAATTACATTATTAACATTAAAATAATTTGACATGGAATATATAAAGTATAAAAAACCGAAAAGGTATTATTTCGATTTTGTTTTGTTTTCAACTGTAAGTTTTATAAAAATAAAAGGAGTCCGGGAAGTCATGGGGTCAAAAATAATAGATTTTTACTTAATTCAAAGCATATAAAAAATAGCGTAATTTCTCCATAAGGAATGAAAAATCATAAAATAATGAATTATTGAGAATTATCATAACGTAACCATATCATAATATATCTAATCTGTGCTCAAAACTCTGTTATTGTCTCTGTTAGATATCATCATGACATTCGTATGATGACAACCGATAATCGTCGTTCGTATTTCTTTAATAGTTAATGTAAATAGGAATTATCAATTATGTATAGTTTCGGTTACATAATTTCCTTTACTGAATGTGTGAGTGGTGTGCAATTTTTTTTTTTTAAGGGGGGAAAATCATCGAATGACTGCTCCCGCCTGGGTGAGGCGGAAGGGAGTGTCAGACTCTTACTGACTAAAAATCACCCTGTTCCTTCTCCTGCACGTCGAGCCGGAGCCCCGATTACCCGTTACGTTCTCCGCGACGTGGTGTGCAAATTAACTTAGAAAGTACGTATAAGTTGTATGAAACAGCGCCGCAACCTCCAGGCCAACACAATATTTTAGCTCACGTAAATTAAGTCAGCTCTAAAAGCTCTGAAAACTAGAAAAGTCATCAGGTGTACATAGCTATTCTTAAAAAAGGTACAATACAATCACTCCCAGGATATAATGACATTTTATTTGTTGTCATAGCTTTGTTCTCGAATAGAAAACCTCAACAACTATTTTAAATTATTGACTAAGATTTCGGCTGGCTTTTAAGAATTTCTCATAGTTTCAACTATTTACAATTATTAGGGTCAGGAAATAATACTCGTAACGACTTTCAATTACTTATTTAATATAATTTTACAATTTAAGCCGAAACCATCGACCGAACTTTCTCAATTCCCGCCAAAAGTGTGTAATCTCTAACATTGCCATATTCTACACAAACATTCATCAAAAATGACCTTCACTCAAATAATTTACTAATTAACTAAAAATTTCATATTTTTGTAATAATAGTAAAAGTATTTAAATAAAATAAAAAAATAACTAACTTATTAAAACATCGACCAAATAATATTTTAATAATATCTAGCAAGCATTTTAATTATGAACATCATTTAGCAAGTGTTGCCATTATATAAAAATATACTCTGCATAACAAAACCTAAAGGAACTGAAGTATTTAAATAAGAACATCATTTACCAACCGTTGCTATTGTATAAAAATATTATACTCTGCATCTATAACCTAACACAATTTTGGCCTAAGCATGTATGAAAGAGGGAGAGGGGGGCACCTTTGAACACTTTTTGAATAAAATATTATATTTGTCGTATTGTGCTACATATCAAGGTATTTTATATTTTTATGAATAGGTATGCTATTTGTGCTACAAAATAAAAATTAAATTAACTTGTTTTTATTTATTAAAGTAGCAATATTATTATTTTTAAAAAACCATTTTTTGTTCAAATGTGCCCCTGGCAAGGGGCACATTTGATAACACCGGGGGCACTTTTGAAATACCATGATAACAAGAAAACAATGTAGCTTAAAATATAATCAACACTTTATTTAAGACATACAGATCGTAAATAATTATAATATATTGCCACTAACTTCGTACATTCACTATTACTTAAATAAACTTTATAAAACTATTAACAGCCTGGGGCAGTCTTGAACAAATGTAAGTAACTTATTATTTTAATATTTGAGATCTAGTTACATATTGCTAATCTTTGTCTTTATATTATCTTTATAATCTTAACATTATCTTAAAAACATACCATTTAAAATGGTCTCAGGAAGGCATTAAAAAAATATATCAAACAAAATAAACAATCCAAATCACCTTATTCCCAAACATATAAGTAAATATTCAAAAAAAAAAACGAACAACTTCAAAACTTTGGTAATTATACCTAACCTAGTTTAAATTTACTAAAATCAAATTTAAAAGTTAATAGAGCAGCTGTACGAGAAGTTCCTGGAGCAGAGCATGGCTTTGGTAGTTTTTTTACAACATCAGTGATAGGTATGCAGGATTGGTCTTCTTTGTCAGGGAACAAAAATTTAAAACCCAATTTCTTTTTCAAAAAAGAAACTAGAAACATATTTTGGTCTTTACGTTTAATAAAAGCTACGAAATATGTTTGTGATTCTTTTTTGGCAGAGTGACATTTTACCAATATATAGTCATTTTCATTTAAACTCTCATTTGTCAAAGATTGAATTGATTCCCTTTCATCTAACTAATAATTAGACTCAGAATTACTTTGACCATCTGTTAAATCCATATCAGAATCATCATGAAAAGATATATTTCCGTCAGATTCTGAGTTTGACTGATATTTTGGCAACGGTTTCTTCTTTTTATACGTCTTGTTCTTGGGCATACATTTTCCTCGTTTTGATAAAGGCAGAATTGAAGGCTTGCGTTTCATCCGATCCAGATAAGCAGCTTCTACTGCGCATTTTTCGGGAGTATCAGTTAAGATTCGTGACGAGCCTTTCTTTCTGCCTTTTCTTCCGGTACGAGGAATCGCTTTAGGAAACGGTCTTATTGCTTCAGGAGTAACTGTTACTTTTTCCCTTATATTTTCAGTGTTCCTGTTTATTTTCGCCAAATTATCAATATTGGCGGCACTTTCGATTACAGATGGTGAATGTGAAGGAGTTTGCTCATGAGCTTTATTAGTATTCTTAGTAGGTGTTTTTGCAGATTTATCGGTTTCATGATTAAGTTCAGGGGGGAGTTGAGATATAAGGCTTATGGTGGGTTTATTACTTTTGTCAATAGCTTTAATTGATGCTATTACAGGTTGATCTACTTCTATATCTTCAGCATCAGTAGCGTCACTGTCGATTGTAGAAGGTGCTGGAGCAACAATTTGAGCATTGTCAGTAGCGTCAGGAGCAGCTGCTATTGTAAGTTCATTTATTTCCAGATCTTCAGCTTGAGTGACATTATCGTTCACATTATGTGGTATAGACGCACCAAACTGTGATAACACCTGTTGAGGTTGATCAGTCTCCACATCTTCAGCTATTACACCACCAATAACTAAATTCTCAGATGCAACTATCAAGGAAACTTGCGAAGGATCAGCCCGATTAGTCACTTCTGAACATTCAAAGTCATCGTCCGTGAATTTGTTTCTGGAAAACGGATATATTCCTGGCGCAGAAAATCCCGATGTGATGTTATTGATAGTATGTGAAGCATTATATGCAGGGGTGACAATACTTGCGAGATCGTGTATAGTTATTGTTTTGCCCGGATGATTAAGCAACCAATCATTTTGCGCGACTGCAAGCTTCGCCTTAAAAGGACTGTTTACTGCAACGTCAAGTGGTTGGAGTTTATGTGTACAATGAGGGGGAAATGTCAATAGTTCTATGCCGTTTTCTCTTGCAAAATTAATAGCATCGATGGTGCAATGACTCTCATGATTGTCAAGGAGTATAAGAATTTTATTTTCTTTGGTGCATCTAGTGGTTTTTTTAATGTGTTGCAGAACTTTCAGAAACAAAGGTCCAGTCATCCAACCGCTAGTAGGACTATTGGCAAACCCGACACTTCCAACTGGAGCTCCAATAAGCATTGTTTCATGAAACCTAGCTCTTGGAAAAATAAAAACCGGAGGAATGGTATTTCCAAGAGCATTTACAATACCACACATAGTGATCAATTGACCTCTTTCGGCCGAAACACTTTGTCCAACTTGCTTTTGACCTGTTCTAGCAATAACATTGGGTGCTTGAACAACGGTCATAATACTTGTCTCGTCTAAGTTATAGATGCAGTCTGGAGTATAATTTCCGCGTTGTAACACTCTTTCATAATTATCAAAAAACATCATGACATTATGCTTATTAAAGCTGGTTGATCTGGAAAGACTGGTGTTTTCAGGTATTCGCAAAGATAATACTGGGTGCCTTTTCATAAAGTTTTTCATCCATTCAATGCCCGCACTCTTGTTATCTAACCATTTTTCAGGACACTTATCTAACGCTGCTGCATATTGATATGCCAATTTTCGACCTTGTAAGTAGGTAAGACCATAATTCATTTTGGACATTTTTAAAAA